AACTTACTATATTTTCATCCTTTAAAAGGCTTAGAGTATTTTTTCAATAACCACAGTATTACAGTGTCGATCAATACGGCAGTCGTAAGCCGGTATCAACAATCCAGGAAACCTACGAATCGAACCTCGAAAAAAAAATTGGTATCCGGTCAACATCTATTTACTTCTATTTGATCGCGTTTGGTTAAAATAATAATAATAATAGTACCAACAAAAAAAAATCATGACAGAGACGTTAACGAAACGGTGAAGGCCCCTAAATAGGTACTTACTGGGAAAGTCTCCTGATACTTTAAGAGTCTCCACGTTACTTTTTTCTTAATTCCTATTTTTGCTACATGTTACTCTCCTGCTACCTTAACAGATTGAAAATAACGACTTTTGGACTTTTTAAAACTGTTAAAAGACGTCCTCCCCATCCCGTATAAATTTAAAGGAAAACAAAGAGCAGTAACTTAAAAACGAAAGGGTCCTTGGGCATTCATTTTATCCGCATGTTCTCTTTCAAGTACGAATCCTGATAAATGAAGCAAGCAGTTACTGCATGGTAAACTGCTTGTTGTCTTTTCGAAAATTAAAAGGCTATCTTGTTAAACAACACGTGATCGACTCTCCACCAGTAGAACCAATTGCGGCGGTCAGCCACCACATGGCTGCTTAGCTGGCTTCGTCGTCCAGAGATCTGTTTTGTAAGAGCGAAAATAATGATCGCAAAGCACACAAAGCTTACGTCTTGGGGGTTTTCGTCGTTGGGTCTATCCATGGGCTTGTTTTCGATGCGTTTGTATTACACTTGAACTTATACCGTCACTTGACCTCATCTCCTCATTCGACAGTCATTCATCTTCTGCCTTCTTACCGCCGTCATGCTGAAGATGAAATCAGTGGATGTCTCGCATCGTTAAATGAGCTCGTGCAACTCGAACGGCGCTCGTATACGTCGGGGCGACGGCCCCAGCAACGTAGCGATCTAACTGACGTTGCCGTGGCCAATGCATGACAATGTTGATGCCATGACCAAAGGAAAACTAATGCTGTTGTTACTTAATAGTGATACGTAATGCAATAATAATAACAACATGATTTATCTACAGGTGTAGACAGAGAGTCATTGTGTTCGCTTATAATTTTCGCGATTTCCGCCTCTTCGTTGAACGCTTAATCGTAACGGGCTGCATTACGCCGTCGCTGAACTGCAATAGTGAATAAGATAGCAGCGCACAGGTGTGTACAGTGTGTACAACGGCGAAGGTGTGCTTGCTATAAATGTCTGTAAGATCAAGCTCAATGTAAACTACAATACAAAATTTTGACTAATAGGCGACTAATAGACATGAATAGATAACAAGGTATACGTGATACCTTTATCTAGCTATGGTAAAGTCTGTTTGGTGTTAACTTCTATCACAACTCTCCTATTAAACCCGTCTGTTATATAATACAATGGACAATCTAATTGGCTAGCGCTTATTATTGCCCTATTATGTCACATCCTTTTCTTCGTACATGTATTTTTTCAAATTAATAAATCTGTCATTTACTAAGAGTAATGCAGCCTTATCGTTAGTCTTAACGCTAAGAAGACTCGCAGTGGATAGATTATGTAACCATTATCGACACGGCCAACTTGCAAAGATGATTTCTTCATCGCGTTTTCGGACCATTTACTCTATTGGCCATTGTGCAGTTTATGCATTGTTGTGATTACGTCAAACTCTTCTTGAGTCAAAATAAAGAACGCTAGCATATCTTAGAAAAAAAAATATATTGTGCTTTAGTCAACAGAGATATTTTATGGAAGCAAGCGTACTAACACATGTGGTGTATTCTATTCGTGTCACATGAATTGTAGGTAAGGCCTTTATAGGCCACGATTTGACTTAAATCTCTATTGAAGGGCTTGCATCAGTTTAGATAATAAAATTAAATAACTGTCCGATATACGGCCGTTCACCCCAAGTTATCTGTCAACCTGTAGATGATACAAACAGAATAATAAGAAAATAATTCATTTAGAAAGCTCATTTTCATTTTGGTTTTCTTTTTGCGCCCAACCGGTACCATAAGTTGATGTAGGTAGATATCAATGTTGCGTCGAACGCCTGTCAAGCTATTCACCAGTAAAGCTAGAATATATGTACTTACTTGTGGCTGTAACGCATGCCAAGACGATTTACAAGACGACGCGCGCGAAAAGCATGCGATATCGCGTAACACAAAGCTCCCATACATACGTATCGAAACGGGCATAAGCGACTGTCGTTTGTCAAGAAGTTTTGCCCCATAAAAAGTACGTTGATACTAGCCAATCCGATGTGTTTGGCGTTTTACGAGGAACAAAATCATCGCACCGGCGGCTTTCTATGTTACGTCCCCTTACGGTACGTTCGACTCGCTGCTGTACGCTGCGATCCTTCTCCGTCGTTCACGGTTGATTCTTGTGTCTGAGTTGGTCGCGTCTATGCGAAAAAAACACCATCTACCGGGTGATCGGCAGCGCTCGCCACCGGAGTTATGTCATGCTCGAGCTGTATGACGGAGCTGGCGATGAACCGTTTTAGTGTGAGCCTACACTGTTCAGCGATCCAGTGGTCGAATAGTCCAACCAGTGGAACTGAGCGGCATTTGGCGCTGTGTGGAGCCGCTTTTTTGGCGGGTTGACAAACGCCGCTCGCGGCACGGTCGTGCCTTGCATACGTGCATGACTTTCATTTGCAACGTCTGTATTGAAATGTCGTGCGGCTGAGATGCTGGGGAACTAGATGGGTCATCGGGAACGGGCCTCCGGACCGATGGGTCGGGTAACCGATAGGGGGCACCGAAACGCTCGATTTGGCTTACTTTTTGTTATGATGCGGCACTTTTTGCCCACAGCGCGAGTGTCGTGTTCATCCAGTCCCTTCTAATCCAGGATCTGGGGTATTGGAAGAGCCATAAATCTTCGGACACTGAGGTTCATGCTATTGTACTATGTATGTTGCAATCGTGTTAACAGCAGCGATGGGGCGAACATGGTAACAGCGGCGAGCCGGGTTCATATATAACAATGGAAGTCACTTGATCGATTTAAAATTTACATCTATTTTAATGGCTGTTTTACGCTGTGGTGGTCGTGCTGATTAGTTGCCCTTAATCAATGACTAAGCAGTTAGCCATAGAAGTTGCGACAAAATTTATAGACGAGAATACTGATTGCATGCGGAATTTTTATATTGAACGTAAGTTCATTCAGTCGATCGTTTATTTGTGTGCTATTATAATTAGGGTCCGGACAGGGGCCTTGTGCCGTTCTTTACCTACAACATGGAACCGTAAATCGAGTGGGGTAATAGTTCGGTCGGTTTTAACTAATGTTATTCAGAGACAAATAACTAATTTTTTTCTAAATTCATACGACGCATCATTAAGAAATCGCGGGACACTTTGGACAAATAAAATCATAACATGAAAATTATGATATAGATTGGAACTCAATAAGCTAATTAACTAAGCGAAAACTTCCTACAGTAGAATAGAAAGTAACTTGTGCGTTACTTTTTATGAACAAATATTACTCGTGAGAAACTTTTGGAGTTGCTTGTTGGCCTCGAATCATCTCATTATCTCGGTAGAGTCAGATTTTGCTGGCCGGATAAACGGTGATACCTTTAAGACTACAATTTGCATCGAAACGTCTTTACAGGTAGCTAATCTATGAGGTGTGCATACATACATACAGATTACTAGACGAACGTGTATTTTGTTATCTATGAGCTAAAACGACGGCCTCGTTATTGTAGTACATACATATAATTTTTCTAATGGAAATATATGATTATATAAATTATCGCTCGGTCACTTAGGTAAACTAAGTTACACAAGCGGCACTTGATTGTGGCTTGGGCTAGCAATGAAAAAAAAAGTAGTCAGAATCACTTTTTTTTTTGGTATCTTCAGTTCCGTTGTTCGCTATAGCATGCATATATCCACTGTGCACATGTCCTGCTGTACGTAGCCGGGCAGTTGGATATATCAGTTCTGTTTAGCGCACGTACGTTCGCCCATTAGGGCACCTTGCATCTACACTAAAAATGATTAGTATTAGTCACTGATAAGCCATACTTATCGTAATCTATAGTTGAATACAGTGTAATTCTGTCCACAAACCTTGGGAAACTAGCGTGGTTCTAGAAAAATAAGGCCCTTCTACTGCTTTGCATCATTTCATCATCAGTTTTTTTAATAAGACACAGCGAGGTTGAATAACTTCGACTTTTTCACGCTACTAGGTAAACGATATTTTACCGATTTCTCTTGCGGCCAAAAATCATAGCCAGCACCTGATAAGCTGTGAGAGTGTCTAGTCTTCGCTCCAGGGCCACCACCATTCAGGTAAGTGACGACGCACAGATGTCCTGCACAAATCAAGCAGGTCATTAAGACGTAACGTGCAGACGTTGCAGCACGTGCCCTGTGCAGTCAACTGTCAGATGTTCGTAGCGATTCTGTAGATTTTGGATATCTACTGAATACTTCATAGTAAAAATTGCGTATACAGTTTGACTCCGAATCACGATAGAGCATATTCAACTCCTGCTAATCACGTTCAAGCTCGGCCAATGAGACCGAATGTAAATAAATAGAAAAAATATAGCATAGCCTTTATCCTTAAACGTATGCATAGCTAGATATGCTTAGCGAGAGACACAGTAATAGCATTAAAAACGTTAACAGCAATCAAGGACTAGCCCGCGCAGAGACCCTTTTTTCGAATTGTTTGATTTAGTTTTTTTTTTTTTTGAATAATTTTATATAATTTAATTTTATACTCTCTTTATATTGCAAAATGACTAACTAATTTCGACAATTTTAAGAGGGGCACCAAAAAACAGAGATCGAGTAGTGCGTTTTTTAGTTGTAGTCAACGGGCTATTAAAAATGGGTAGTCTTTTTCGAACTTCCCGCGCCAACGACTTCGGCTCTATACTTGATAATAGCTCCGATTCAACAAAGATTAAAAACTGGAAGGTGCTGACATCTTTGTTGAAGTTCGAACATCGAGAATTGAATGGATATCTTCTACTCGTAGACGAAGTGCCAATGATCGCACGCCGAGGTGTCGTTAGGACGACAGCGGTGGCAGCGGTTGACCGAATCGTCGGTATTTTGTTTACTAACATGGATACAATGCGACGGGCTCTAGCCGCGATGGAGCGGACAGTGGACGTAGAAGAGATAATTGCAAAGACCGAAACGAAGAACTAGGCCGAATTGCTCTTGTGCCAGCGTATCGATACTGATATTTTTCTTGCTCTCCCTAATGCTAAAGTTAGCGCAACTTGAAAGTCTTGTTAAAAATTTGGCTGTCGTAAGGGCTCTGTGAGTTCACAGAAAAAAGTAAGAGAGAAGAAAGGTGTGTGAACAAACCTATCTGTTTTCGCCTTAGTAATTTCGAATTAGCGAGAAACTTAACCTTGGAAAGATAAGTATTAATGAAACGCGCTAATAGTTTTCGTATGACGTAAATGGCCAGTGTGCTCCTATATGTGTGCAATGCGGAAAAGCTATCGAAATAGGATTTTTTTTATTATATCGGTAACAAGAAGCATGACTAAGTGCCAAGTTTTAAAATTTATCTGTTATATTATTATTAAGCAAAAGCTGTGTTTAGATTATGGGTAACTTTAGATAACAACAGCTCGGAAACTGTTCACACAAACATTGAAATTTTAACTAAATTGTCTATATATCATAGATTTTGTATTGTAGTCCTTATTTTAACTGGATACCATTAAACGGAATTCGTTTTTACTGGAAGTTTTTTTTCTGGTTATTGTGCCGTCATTTTCTTAACAGTCGCTCCCAAATTATGTTTCATTACCTATTTTCGTTTGTCCACTACACAGTTAAGATGGACAGGCAGTATTTATCTATATATATATATATATATATATATATAAAGAGGCAGATATATATAAGAATGAGCGTAGTTTTATCGGTCGTCCGAATAATCAAGAACTCGCCAGTGTGCGTGATATCTAACGTACTCTTGTCAATCACAATAATAGTATATTTCTGGATTCTATTAAAAATCTACTGCAAAAGTTTCTTCAAACGCCTTTTCTCAGTGTTTCTCGTATTTTCCCACTATCACGGTTGATGAAACACAATCAAATGCGAGATAATTAATTTCTCACTAACTAATAAACACTTTAAATTGCCGACAGCAGAAAAAACCACACCACAGCCAGTTTTATAGGCTAAACCGTCAATGTTCCATAAACGTAGATTCCAACGTAAATGATACCTTACGGTAACGCTTACCTCTAATGACACGTTAGTTGTATTTAATTAAAATTCAGCTAATCGATTTATGTGTGAGCGCTCACATGGACCGGCGTAAATTGTAGAACGTAATAAATTAAGAGCATTCTACTGATAGTTATTTCAAATCGGTGGCCGTGAATGAAGCCAATGATCGACGTCCGATAACATGTGGTGGGGGACGTCGTCGCTAAACGAAAATCATTCAATGTTTGGATGTTCAATGAGTGGAGCTGATCGAACATGCTCAGGGAAACGAGCTTCAGGACACAAAGGACTCCGGTAAATGGTCGACCTGACGACATGAATGCCTCATCACGAACCTTTAAGTGCATATCTATTCTGGTAGGGATTTAAAGCCGACAGGACTTCAGCCGTGTGTGAATTGTCGTCCCTACTTAAAACATAATTGGAATACAAATGCGTTATTAAACGACTGTAACAGCCTCGAACACATTGGCGTAATACCTGAGTGACTGCATTAGAATGAAGCCATAGTGATAGCTAGTTAGCTAACTGCCGATGGCAGAATAGGTTCTTACATAATCGTTTCGAACTTACCTATTCAGAGCACAGCTCCCCCAAGCGGTTCCGTTTACAGACGGATAGTTTGGATACAAATGAGCCACAAAGATATTCGGTCGACTTTCATTATTACAATTTCGATGTATCTTCTAGTGACGATTGCGACCATCAGAGACCAGGTTTCATGGGTTTACAACGAGAAGTCTTAGTAACTGTCGAATATTCACAATCTCATGATCATCAGTGATCTTGACTGAGCGAATCAGCCTATCTAATCGACTATACTCGCGGAAAGGCGCAATACCGCTATTATATATGCTGCAATCGTGCACATTTACAATGTTTGTTTTCCTCATATTGCTACACTATATTTATCTAGCACAGGTATTTCTGTCAGTTGTTTCCGTTTCGTAGACATTTCGTTTTTGATCCGCGTACGTTAATAAAACGCCACGAAAAGACGATCAACCGCCAGGTGATCTAAATATTCTACCTGAACCCGCACGCGTCCTCCCATATATCGGGATCCCATTTATAAATACTGCCGAAGTTTGCAGCAGTAACCATCGTATCACTAAGCAAACGTCACCATCGCTACTATGACGGACAGAAGGAAATGCTCTAACATATATATGTGCGTACACACTAATACATGAAATTGATCCGTTATTCAATGTTCTGATATAATCATATAAAATCGAAACGGGCGGTGGCATACAGGGGCAGCTTACGTACGCGCTTCCAGTAATAGTAGCGAACTAAAGACAGCCTATTTTATGACGGCGAGACAACTTCGAACGTTGCTTTTGCCAGGCCCTTTCGTTGCCGAGAATCGTTTTACGGCGGACGTAGTAGCTTTTAATCAAACATTTGTTGAGGCAATTAGTTTTCCAGTTGCGCAGCAGATTGCTAAGTTACGCTAGTCTACATCTCGTGCGCGGGAAAGGCAATATATTCTCTTGGCAACTGACTTGTATCAAGTAATGTCCATGATAAGCGCCCCTGACGCCACAGTTCGGCGCGAATACCCCATCGTTGGTTATGGCAGTAAGAAGCGGCCGCACGGAGAAGGTGTGACTCCTTAAATGGCTCCCTGAAGACGCCGCAGTTCGCGGGTAAGTCTTTGTCCGCGGGAAATCATCTGCTTCGGTTGCCTCAGTAGCTGTAGCATAAATTGGACGAAAACAAGGGAGCACTCTTTGTCGTCTTTACGGCCGAATCAATGGAACCGCGCCGATGGTGAAGTAAATATAACTCGGCAATCGATGATCTAGTAGACCGCTGCAAATGTTACGAAATCGGCGTCAACGACCACGATTTGTTGATTTTTTTGGCGTTTATTAGAACTGATGAAAGCGGGGCCCGAGAGGGAGAACATCGTCGTAGAAATCGTTTCCAGGGGTTGATTTTTTCTTAGGGACGTGGTATACGTCAATTCTCGCGAGTGCAGGGAAACGCTAAGATCTGTCATTGAATGCGACCAAGTTCGATGATCGATACGACAGCCCGGACACATACAGTGCAACTTATTGCCGGGTCTACGATTGGCCGAAGATGGTATTGCAGACAACTGTCTGTGGATTTCAGTGGCGACCGCAGCCCTGGGAGATCGCAGCGTGCATGCCGTGAGTTGCACTCTCAAAGTCAACTCTGCCCGTTGGGTTAATGTAAGCTTCGAGAGGAGGTATAAATTGAATCGATAAGTCTAGAAAAGGCAAACGAGTGCCTCTTGAGGTTAGCCAGCCTGTGCAAACGTCGTAACGGTTAATTTACAAAATGCAAGAAAAAGCAGCTTTAACTGACAGACACTAAAAACAAAAAAAAAAAGTAGTGACGCCTTTTTTGCCATTGTGTTCGTGATTGGATTGAATTTGCGCGGCGCGTTTATCTGCGTGCACATTTGCTTCATTCTATTCTGTTAATCTCTATAGCACGCGCCCATCGTGTAGCAATTGTTACTATGCGAAGCGCAACTAGTTTTGGTTATGTCTACATTCGATGTAGCGATAAAAGGAGTAGATACAAATCAATGAGCTTCGTTTCAGAGCTTTTATGTCAATAATGTTTTCCGTTGATTATTTTATCTTCCATTGTTAGCAACTGTGGCCGATTTTAGCTAATATCCATGGAAAAATACGATATTACAAAATGAAACATATTCAGCGTAGACGTACAACTGAATCTTAGGCGGCCTTTTACGTCATCTGCAAAACAAGCCGAAACTAATTTACTGTAGATAATTTTTTCGAAGACGAAGTACTCTAATAACGCTTTGTCCTCCTCAACAGCTCCCCCCTGAGCAAGCCAAACGCCCTTCATTTTTTCAGCCAGATTCACCCAGCGAAAGCCAGCGGACGTTGCTGTGTTTTGTATCATCTCAGGGAAGATCTCAATATGAAAACACTAAATTCTAAATAATGCAAATATCAGTGTCCTCCTTCCGATTCTTCCTGGCGTATGCTTGTCTTCCACTTTCTCTGTAGAGATTTCAAGCCGCTTCTTATCTGCTCGTTGAATCCGGACGAGATACAAGGATAGCATTAAATATATTAGAAGACTGTTTGAATCTATCAACAGTATAGCTAGCGGCGGTTCATCGAGGGGTTTGATATGGCCAATAGTCCAACGTACAATGTTCACTTCTCATTGAAAGGAAGGGGTTCGAATATGCTTGTTTTTTTAAGTATTCATTCATCCAGGCGGAAGAAGGATTCGATCATTTCCCATGCCAGTACTGTGCTAAACTGCCGAGTGGCACAGTAGAAAGACGACTTTGCCCTTTCCAGATTTTAGTACAATTTAGCCGCTGGAACAATAGCTGTAGTAATAGTTCGAAAATCGGCTCCGTCACTCATGACAGATGGCGTCGTACCGTTTCGTCCGTCACAGACAGTATCGTTTTACGACTCAATCAATTCAACAAACAATATGCTTGTATGTATATGTACCCGTACGTGTTATGAAATAGGACAAGAGCTCTTCCAGTCGTTGGGGCACTTATTGAGAGACGACCCAAAATAGACTACGCCCCCTAAAGTCGCAATGATTTCAGCGGAGAGAGCTGCGCCAGCCGGAAAGAGGTCCCAATGACTTGAAGCCAACTTTCAGTCGGCTGGCCGATTTAAGTACCGAAATGATGATGCAGTATGTACGTTTTCTACAGCAGCGTAACTTACTACGACGGAATTGAAACTTCGCAGCAATAAATTATACAATATGTTTATTAGAACTATTCGTTCTTTACAGGCTTGGGCAACGAACGTTCGCTGTCGCACGCGGTATCCTCAAATCAGGACATAACTTTCTTGTTATGAATCAAAGAAGGCTAAGTTACCAAACTTTGTTTTCGGCATTTTCAACGCGTTTTTTGATGAACTTGCCAGTAATTTTTCTTGCAAGCGAAATTGAAAAATTTGTACAATATCGAATATCCTGTTGTCGACATCTGCTTCGCATATTACTTCATACCCACGTTCAATGCCTGGTTGTATATCTAGAACCTACTTGTGTACGTTACATCCCTGCGTACATTTTTTTTGCTCAGCGGAATTTAACATTAAACACTTGTTCCCACTAAAAAATCTCATCTCTGCATCAAATATACTTAGTGTATATAGTAAGCTACATATACAGTACATTATAGAAGCACATAAACATAAACAAACGAATCGGGTTGACCTCATCGATACCAATGATTAATCTTAATGCCCAAGCCCTGCAAATTAGGTAAATTGTATTAATATGCTTATGATAACAAAAAAAGTATCTAATCCTCCTAAAAATGTCCTTAATTCTGAAATTAGTTTACATTACCATACTTATCATACAAATATAAAACTACACAAAAATACAATTAAGAATATCTTAAATAACTTGTTTATTTATTAAATAAACAATCGTACCGAAAAAAAATGCACTGCAGAACTGCACATTTTTTACTTGCGGGTCTTTAATTGACATATGTCATTGTGAACACTACTTTTTACAGAATCGCCATTTGTCCTCTTCGTTGTAGGAGTGTCCTTTGCGCAGGATATCAAACAAATCAAATTCTCGTTAACTCGATTCGTTCGACGTGCAGCTACGTATCGTCCTGGGTTACATGCTGGAAAACTTGCCACCGTTGATCATCATGGCTATAAGGAGTGAATTACCCCGCTATAGGCTTTATTCGTGGGGCAATCACGTCAAAAACATCGGGAACGACCGGGCAAGCACGAAGAAAAATAAAGTTATCCAGAGAGAAAGAGGGGTATTTTCTAGTATTGCGAGAGATGCCTACGTAAAATACGCAGCATTCTTTCTGTTTCACCCACATACATACGCCCATATAGGCACAGTAGTTTTTTAATACGAGTAGGCACAAAAAAGTAGCACATAACTAAATAAAGAATGAAGTAAAAACAGTTAAGCTCTATAATGCCTCTGTCCAACGCACGACCTACTTCATTGTTGCCATCGCCATGGACAATGCAAATGAAGATGTCACTTAACAACAATCTACAAGAATAGCAACGACTATATTTAAGCTTTCTTCTCTGTGCTATTCCTCTCGTCCCGGATTGTCCGCCCTGAGCCACGGCGCAGCTACCGGCCGGCGCTGACCGGGCCAACGGCACGTAAAGAGTCACTTAGAGCCACAGCTACCGAGGTCACGCCGACAACGTCTATATAGGCGTCCTACTACTTCGCGAAGCTTCCACCAAGACCATAGCATGTGCACAGGAAGACGCTAGTACGCAGTCAGCGTGACGCTCCACCAGCGCACGCCGACTGACCGGTACCTGGCAAACCGTCCAAGTGACGTTCCGGGAAGTGAGGAATGTCCCTGGGGTATGTGAGTGTTTTTCGGATTGGCGCGTCGTCGAGGATCGGTCTCGACAGTTGCCCGGCGCCATACGAACTACTACGCCGATTGCCTATGTTATTGTATAAGTGTGGCAGTAACACTGACATTCAGTAGCTGTGATTCTAATGGTGACAACGTGAGGAAGTATTATCCATGAACAAACATTCGGGACACAGCACTAGTACGCCTTTCAAAATTTACATTAAATGATCCCACGCGGTTGTCGTGGTACGAGTGAAGGCGGACAAAGGCTTACACTTTTTACATCTTAAATGTTCTGGCTTCACTCTAATACGTATAAGAGGATAGTCGTGAATAGCGAGGTTGTGTAGTTTGATAATATAAAAAATTAGACAAGTTAAAAATTATTCGCTACACGGAAAAACAGTGACGTAAAAGCTGATAGCATTTAAGAAAGTAATTAGGAACGGAAAAATATATATTTTTGCAGGGACCTTTTCAATTTATAGTATCAACGTTGGGCACAAGCTAATCGATTTTATAACATATGTATATTTTTCGATTACGGCGCCAATTTTTGTTCGGTCTTTGCAAAAAAAATAATTCTTATAATCCGCTCTTATATATAGAAAATACATTAAAATATAAAACTTAATGTCGTATATAGAAGCACCAAATCAAGGTATACACGTCACTTATAAACATATAAAACAAGCAATGTACAGTTAGGTCAATCCTAATTTATAATCCTAATTTAATAATCAGATGTTTTCTAAAATATTCTGCCGCTTCATAAGCAATACACATCTAAGCAATCGCGTACTTTATTGGTATCGATATGGTCTCAAACGTTTAGAAAGGTTGCTAAGGAAGACTCCAATGACTTCCAGCTGCTTCGACACGCTAAACTTGCCTTAGCACAACGGACAAAGGCAGCAAAAACCAGTTTACTAACTAGCAGAAATCGTTTCCGCGTAACGAAGGTGGTCTGTCTTCTTGTCGTTCTTAATAACGAGGCCCATTTGTGCGTATCTACTTCAGAGCAACTCAGGTCAAGTAATTTTGTATATAACCAGTTTATATTTAGCATTTTCTTTTTTCTAAAATGTAACTTAATTAAACACAAATAACTTTATTTATTTATACAAGTTGAGCGGTACATATGTTGAGGCGGGACTTGAGCGTTAAGCGTATAGATCAAGTATTTGTATTTCTTCACTGTGCCGTATGAAGACTGGCCACCACATGAAAGTACAGAGCATCAATGACGAATAAGCAGTACAGTGAACTGTACACAAATTTGCTGTGGGAACTCAGACGTCAGAAAAGATTAACGATGGACCCAACTAGCGGGCCCATTAGTTGACGTTTGGAATTGATCGACTTCTGATGTATTCCTTATACCCAGGACGAAGTTTAGAAAGTTCTCCATTAAAAAAACAATATGGGTAATTTTGTAACGATAAACCTTGAAATATGCTTGATCCTTTTGCTTTCGTCGTTTTGCTTTTAATAATTCACAATCCGGCAGGTTGGACAAAATTTCGCTTACATCCCAACATACTCTTATGACCCTCTGTTAATCAGATGTAATGTTTCAGCAAAGGCTGTTTCAATTGATAACCACTTTTCTTCATTAAAGAGCATGACAATAGATTTTTACTAAATTCTATCATTATTGCCGGTCATTCTCGACCCCACCGACGGCGTGACGAGGATCGCTAGAAAGCACGGTAAATCGAATGGGCTCTTCATCTCATCACAGGTGTGCCTTGTTTCGCAATCACGTCGAGGCTGCACAGCTTATAATAGTAACAATAAGTTGGAAGCTACTGGACGAGAACTATATTGCCATAGCTGTCGGTCTCAGTTAATAATAGGAGCTGTATTCCATCAACTGACCCCTAATACATAATAGATGGCATGTTTAATGCTACCCCATCATTCTTTGGTAGTCCTGTTGCCTATCGGTAGTGGCAACAATAGACGAACGCTATCGACACACAATGTTTTTTTTTTTGGCATTTCGCAGATAAAACGCTAATTCCAATCACGATGAATCGTATCGACCAATTGAGCGAGACTTTCTATTCACTAAAGTTGTGATCGGCTATATAAGTTGTATTTTCGAAAAAATGCTGTTCCTTAAACGCGAATAATGTAACAGCTTGTACCAGGTTTTGATTTAGTTCGAATTGTGTTGATTCTTCGTGTCAATTGTCAACCAGGACGTACCAATTTGGGGATCGGCAAGTAGCGATATGACGGGGAACTGCGTAGTCTAAGCAGTTTTTACGCACTATGGTGACCATGAATATGACCGCACTATGGTCGCTATGGTGACCATGAATACGTGACAATCACCGCTTCAAATTTTAGCGTTACTATGAATTTATTGTTATTTTGCGGTTTCATAGGTCTATTGGAGAAGAATCCAGATTGATAACCGATAGAAAGAAGCATGGCATATCGTACTTCATATCGGAACGACACTCGGCTGGAGACTGTCATGCCGTCGGCCCCCTCCAGAATGACCCCCGTGTTGCAGATCCGGGTTGATTTGTTATAGATTACGTGCAAAAAAGTAGTCAGACAGCAGAAGCGGTAAAGAGCGACAGAAAATATGGAACTTCGCTATGAGGCGAAGACTCATTACGAAAAAACGTCATCAAGCAGGTAACAATCAATCACAATAACGACAATACAATGGTGACCTCATTAACGGCGACGACGAATAACCGAGGATGCCTGGTAGGCCGAAAAAATGGTCCGCAGAGTAATCACAAGTGCTGCGCCTGCAGCATAAATAGCAGATTACTGCATCAACAGCCCCCGATAGGTGAAGAAAGTATCGCTGCTCAAAGTTCTATGGCTACTGGATACGCTTTGAGGATAGCGTTTGTTGCAGTAGGCGATTGATTACAATCCCTATGAACACTGTAGAACCAATAAAAGTTTTATTATTTTTATAACAAAAGTGATTTCGCCATTTATGATGGATGGCCCTTTATCGGCTAAGCATCAAACGGTCTGTGAGGTCGATGTAAAAAAAGAGCAAATGTTCTATAATCACTAGATTATATAATATGCTGGCCGAAAAAAAACGTCGATTTTTGCTCGTGTATTAGTAGAATTTTTAACTCAGTTGACTTTCGAAACTTCTAACGAAGATCGTTACGTTTGATCAAGGAATTTTTGTTCCCATTTTAATAGAAGACACAGAAGCGGAGCTACACTGCATTGGTATTTGGCGAAAGTACTTGTCGTATTGCAAAACCAAGAAAATATACCTATATGTAAATATTGTAATAAAGACGAGTCAGAGATTGTATTTTCTAAGCTGTTGGCGCATCCTTTAGTAAAAACATTTTAAGGAAACGCTATTCTACTGCAGGGTTAAAAACAGCTTTCAAGGAGCTTTACGATGCCTTTGTGTTTCCCACAACATCAGTTCTCGTCTGCATTATACATGAATCACAGCACGCCGTAAAATAGTTTGTCGTTAAGAGATTATTTGTGTACGCAAGGTTTTAATGTTTCGAACTATACGTCCTGTAGAGCACGAAACGATGTGTATCTCGGCTTGGTGTCTCGAGCCGAGACCATCTAGATCCTTCTAGATGTCGTAAGCAAACTCGTTGCTAGGATACCATTTGTAGTCATTACAGTTCTACTGTGAGAATTATATCGATGCCAAAAAGGAACGTAAAAGTAATTGTACATACTGCACGATGAAAGACAGAAATTTGCATGAAATGTTAGCGGGTGCGGTGGGACATAGAAATCGCTTACTACTAGTTGTTCACGACTTCGTTCCTTGTTCGGTTACCGGACAGGTGGGAAGAAATAGATTTTCTCTTTGAGTTCATCTCGACCTGACACAGTTCTGTAGGGAAAGTGCTCTTGTTGTGTTAAAAGTAGCAAGGGCAAGTTGGATAGTCTAGGTTCAAGATCAGGAATGGGCACGCGACTTGTCTCGCGCTTTTAAGAGCCAGCCATCTGACACAGTGCCGATGGGCAATATCAGGCATAAAACCCAAGGTATATACTGAAGTTGTAGTTCTTCGATTTTCAGTCGGTGATCGTTTAGCGACCACGGTTCAGGCATTGGCATCATCAGAGAGTCTAGAATGGATCCTGGAAAACAATGAGGTGAGGTCGGACGATTGCGCTAATTTTGGCGATGGCTAGAAGGACTAATGCTCGATCCAAGTTAGAATTTAATGGCGTCCAGAAGGTAGAATACTAACAGCGAATAATATGCTACCGCTGTTCCATTTACTTAATAAATACACCCAATGGCGACCGAAGTTCCGACATTCCATCATTAGACAGTGAAAAAATAACATCCAATGTATTTCAGGAAAAATTAGGCGTCGCCTGCGAGCGATGCTGTGTGGTTTTCGATGTACGATATATATATATATATATATATATATATATATGTATGTATGGGTTTAATTTTAGGCAAGAAAGGCCGATCGCTAAAACTCGGTTTTAAAGATGCAAGGTATTAGAATTGGTTTGAATATTCATTTTGCTTTTCTATGAAGCGAACTTTAAATTATAAGTACACTTCAATGAAGTGTTTGAGCGTATGCGGGACACATTCATTATATTACGTATAGCCCATTATAGCGTGATCAAGATATACACGATCTTTACGATATTTAGTTTATATTAGTGTAAAGCTGGCTTCACGCGATAGAGAATGAAGTGCTTTGAGTGGTCTCGAATTTATGTTGCGTTTAGTGTTGTTGTTATTTAAGCAAGTACTAACTAAGTATACTAAAAGACCTGTTGCAAATAGTTGTACTCTTTAAGATTTTGTGCGACGTTTTTTTAACTTCCATATCGCTTGTTTTGTTAACTGTTTCATACCCGACGCAATACAATAGAATTTAAACGACAATTCCTTTTTTGGTCCCGACCGTTATTTTCTATAAATAGCTGAATAAATGATAAATTACGCAGTCAGTGTTACCACAACTGTTACAGTCCCGGCCACGGCTCACTGTTCTCGAGGACGTACATAATCCTTGAACCCGTAATCGTCCTTGTTTTCGAAGTATACAACGGTAGGATTGGATATTCGCGCAGCAGTCCTGGCCACGCGGACGGTGATGAACTGCTTTGACCGCCCCTCAAACAACAATACTATAGGAAATAACTATGGCCGATCATTAAGTACAACTACGTTACAACAGTCACCAAACGAACAAAAACGAGACATTGATAAATGACGCCCATAGTAAAAGTGTGCACCTGTTCCATGGCTAGTTTTTCTTCTATCGATGACTTTCGAATCATGTCGATCGGGGTATGCCGATCCTCATAACCCTTTGTTGTTATATTGGGATACGCGTAACATACAGGTGCGTTCGGAGGCACCGCAAATATTAGAATTTCAATAATCTATATATTTGAAACAAGGATTTTTAATGAAGAAACTTCGTAAAAAGCGGAACCAATTTTATCGATATCCCGATCAGGTGTCGATACTATTCCTAATGTGTACAACGTTGACGTTTCATACGTTAGGAACGCAGTTCTCCTTCGTTTCAAAGCGCCTCATCCTAGCTGACATTGATAAAATAGACGTCGCTAATAAATTAAACTGCAGTTGAACGCGTCGTTCGCAAGGACTTTTGTTTTCGGCTGAATCTTTGGCCTGCAATGTCTCCGAACAGTTGAATCCCCGAAAGCTGAGAGCTCAGCGCCTCGAGAGGGTTCAGAGAGGTTCAACATTATTACAAAAGCTGTGATATGCACACGCTAGATCTCGCCACCGGATTTTCTTAAGATTTAGTGATCATTTAGATAATTCTACTGTTGTTCTACGATTCTATTCCGTTATTATATACGCCAGTGCTATCTCTATAATTAGACCCATCACATATCCGAGTTTGTTTACAACCCAACAGCGTCAAAGATGGGGTGATTGATCATAGGTTTTTTGGCAGACGAATGGGTTCGACAAAAATGAGAACCTCTATCCTCGTTTCATACGCTTGCCAAAGTCGATAACAAGCAGATACTAATCGATCACGGTTATAATATTTGCAGATGGCGTTGTGGATATTTGCTCCTCTGACTATTTGGCTTATTTTGCGCCTGTATTAAATGGATGTAAACATTACGCATCCTGAGACAGATATCTACGTGCGCTCAGTATATCTACGTGTCCGTAACCATGCAGAGTCCACTACAAAATAGGCATATTCAAGTGAAATACGGGGTGAGTACGGGAAAGCACACTGAGACATTCGCTACTGAAAATTCGGCCTGCGTATCTCACAGTCTAAAACATTAAGTAAAATTTACTACTAGATCTTGCTTTTATTTGCAAGAGAAACCAAGAAGCGGTTTTTTATCCGGTTTATTTTTGTCTAATTTAATGTTGTGTTGATATTTAATAATCACGACCCGCCGAGTACCGATAACCACACAGAATATCTTGAAATGCTTTTTAATTAATAATAACTAAATATTTAAATAATAGAAATTAAATGTTTATTTACTTCAACTCACTATGATCCTGTATTCGTCCTGTGAGGGAGGGCGTCCTGTAGGGAGTGTATATAGTTCAAGCGAACTAGAACACAATACAAATTACTTCTTCATTGTTGATGTTGCACACTTCCAGTTACCACACCCGTAGTAACCGTTGACCAACGGCAGAGAAAGGGTCGGAACATGTCCTTCACGCTAGACGAATGTTCCATAGGTACGTACGCTACGTATAATGAATATGTATTATTGTGTAATACTATAATACCGGATACCTATTTGATTTTGCTTGGCGGGAAAGCGCGAACATAAAATCAGTTTAATAAAACCGACCATAACCTATTTATACTGAACGACTTTCCGTTCGGCTGGCAAATTAAGACTAGGGTGTGGATATTTATCGATATCTGTGTAGACGCTATAAATGCCAGTCGCCGCAGTTTTTCTCCCTATTTAAGGACGCTGCTTGACAAACAACAAAGACAGCAAAAGTGAGACTTTGCCTGCGGTAGTAATCACTTCGATTCGGAGAAGATCGCACTAAATAAATCAAATGGTACTAGGGAAAAGTCTGCGGCGCTACTCGACAGATGAGAGCCCCGCAACAATTATCTAATAATGAATCGACCGAACGCGTAACACAACAAACGTAATAATCAAGCCACCGTCGGATCTGGCGATAACTCGCTCGACTTCATCGACGCCTGGGCGCAAGTATATTGAGTCTGCACATCAGAGATCTTCAATATCGCGTTGCACAGTCTGCGCTGTAAAATAATCAATACAAAGAGTTGGCCTTCTATAGTATTTATTACTTCCGCGTAGGGCCGTACGCGTCTCGTTCTGACGAAATCCGCTATAGGTTTCTTTGAATCAATTGCCGACGTTCTAAGTAGTTAATTTCTCAGTGCTTATACTGTCGCTCGGACATGTTGCTTCTTGCATTTTCTTCGAAGCATTATGACAATCAGTAGATTTTGCTTTTCGTAATAAATTCAATGGCACTTAATGTCAGATTACTGCAGCGCGTCATCGTAGAGTTTTCTGTGCTTTCCCCAGTCGTTGTCGATGCTAGAGAGGATATTGAGGCTCAGTTGACTGAATACGCTCGATTTTTTTGCAACCCTACGAAACCGTGCTATCGATCATGCGAATAGCTTAGCAACCCACAGACAGCAAGCTACCGAACGGCTCAATCCTTGGTAAAGCAATATCTATCAATGTCCACTCGTAGTACACAGAAGAAGGAAGGCGCGTACGCTTTCTGCCCTAACTTGGGCGATCAAATCGTTGGATGTGCTGTGAATCGGAATTATTCATGAAGGCAGGATGACGAAATAGCGAAAACTGTAAAAGGGAATGAACAGGGTAAAAACTAGAAAAAAAAGCACTGCATTTCGAATACGTTTAGCAAGGCGCCTGTTCAGGTACCAAAAATGACAGCTAGTCAACACGTTAATGTAAGTTCAAGTTTTGGGAAGTGTAGCCAGATCTGAGCTCCGCAAAAGGTCACAGTTCATCATCTAACTTCGGCCAAGAGAAATGCGCTAGAAGGCGAAAGTGCTGGGACGCCCATTTCGGACAGCGCCGCATTTGCAACTGTCCAGTCTGTCTATAGAACAGATGCAAGTCTGAATCACGCTGAAACCGCATGTAGCGATAAATACAGAAAAGCTATTCCGCAGGAAGTTATAGATAATCATCATATGTCGTCTAGCCACTTGGCGGTCATTTGGTCGGACCTGAGGGGTGTGAGAGGAACGGGAATCGCTGCCACATTGCCGTCTGTTGGTGCTGCAATAAAAAACATGTTGCTTGTAAAAGATCAAGGGGTAGCGTATTGTAACTACAAGCAGTACTTTTCTATTCTGACTTTTCAGCGCGTGTGAAGACGAGGCATATTTTGTTATGTAATCGTTATATTCATTTCCGGAGTATAGACACGCACTGTGATTTAATTCGATAGAAATCCGAAATTTATTTCGTCCAACAGACAGCTTAACTCTGAACAAATGTCCCATTTTTGCCTTGTAAAATTAATATTATCTCAAGGCATTCGAGTTTTCCTTCAGAACCTTCGTCCTTTGTTTAAACGATCTAAAATCGTATTGATCGTATTGCCTGAGGCGCTTGCTGGTTCTCGCAATCAAAAAAAACCCTCATTTCCATCAACAGTGTTATTATAGTTTCCGCTAAATTAGCGGAAAACATTCGAAAACTGAAATTATGCTTGCGTTTTTGTTTATTCAGTAAATGTCTATTGAATTCTATAGAGGCCCTCGCAGCGGACGTAAGCGATAGGCGCAAAGCGATAAAGTTCAGTTTGTTTTACAAAACGAACTAAGTAGCTTAACGTCTCGTTCTACACAGTCCCACAATGAATTTACTTCAACATAGGAATTGGCGAACATAGGCCAGAGATATGAAAGACACGTAATCTTTATCAAGGAGAGGAAAGATTAGATGAAAATATACCCAAATTAAAACACGAAAGGGACTTTGATGACTTCCGAAGTAATGATTTTTGAAAAAAATATGAGTTTCTGGTTTCGTTGCTTATGGTGCAAGTCAACTTCAGCTTAGGTGGGTCGAAGCAAATTTGGGAGGTCCGATTTAGATAGTCACACTCTCTTGCTTAATCCAACCGTTTCCAGGTTTGTTTGAAAAAGCACAGCGGATTGAGGCCAGTGCACATAGCGCAGACAGGGTGCATTAAGCAGAAGACCTTAGAAAATTATAAAGATTTCTGTTTATCCGACTAATTTTCTGTCATTTTATTGATTGTCCTTCTGTTACAGCGGAATGGAATAGGGTACGGCGAAAGGCGCAAATCAAGATAAACAATAATGCGAAAATCTACGATGCCGATAGGCAGCTCCAGACAACAACGTGCAAAAGAACTGCGTCAATATTACGAGACGATGCAGAGTCAGAATATCGACCTGTTACATCGGCCCGATTCTATTGGAAAAAAAAAACACTCAATTAATTATTGTCGTCAAATGATCATAGGAGAAATACTTATAAGTGTTTCTTTTTTATTTTCCATTAGCAAGCTTGTGATTGGTTACTGTTTAAGGAAATTTCGTTTTTTGTCTGGTTTAGCTATGTTTTTTTTCTAGGTTATGCTGAAGCGGCAACGATCTGTGGGAGTAATGCAGAACAAAAACTCTGAAAAGCAAAGGAAGGAGGTTTTTTTAAACGAGGAGTATTTTTAGCTGCAGCAATTGAAAATGCAGACTTTCTTTTTCGAAATGCTAATATTCATTGTAATAAACTATGCAGAGATGATGATATTTATCGCTTCGTTGCCAACCGTGACTTGGCAACTTGAAGTTAAACCTATAGTTGGTCGTTCGCATTAATTATCGGACAACTAGAATGTACTTCACGAAGAAGTTTACTTATATGATTATTTGTAAGTGTAGTACTGAGAAGAAACACGCTACGGTGTTCATAAACGATCTAAACGTTATTGACAGGAAATCGATGCCTGTGTAGGCATGCTTGATTTACAGATGACTTGTGTGTTGAGTTTCAAAATGATACAGAATAATTTCATACAAATGGCGAAAAGCTACACGGTTATAACTGCCAAGTTAATGTGCTTCTTTTCAATTTACAAGACAAGACTCACGCAAAACGAACCAACGTGAAGACGTTGCGCGGGTGTCATTATGTTGTAGCCCATATCAACTATATGACAACGAGGGCTCTACTGATACATTTGTTTCTGTGCGGTATTGAAATAAAGAAACCCACAACAAACCTACACAAACACGTTACAAGTCCCTGCTTGCAATTCCAACATAAAATAAGCGTGCCGAATTAGACAGTGCGACGTTTGTCTGTCCCGACCACCTTCTTCGAAAAGCTAAACAATCATGCAAGAAAAACAGGTTAAATAGGTAACTATACAATAGGCACACCAAAATATGTTTTCTGACTGTTTTGGTGACACTGACAATTTAGCATTTACGATAAGCATTAAGGCAGCTACTTAACAACAACAACACGGAGAATAACCCCTTCGTTATTGAAAATGGGTTTCAACATACAAGTATGCGCTTCGCCAACCTTCATCAATGGTTAGTTTTATGTCTGGATTGAAAAACGACCAATAATAAATTCTGCCGTAAATTTTTCGAAGCGTGGCACACGGAAACCCATCGACGTGCGTCCACGTCTGCAAAAACAGGCTACATAAAAAATAACAGCTATTAAATTCATATTTTGTGGATATAACAACCCAAGGACGAGAATGAAAAGCGATTATGAAAGTGTTCCCGACTTAACAATTTTACAAAGGCGTGTATGTCTATATGGAGTTGATGTAGGTAGGATTTTTTTTTTTTTGTGTAAATCCTGATCTTCTTGGCAATGGCTGCTTGGCATTATTCTTAAAGATCTGACGTGAGGCGCCAAGTTTTTACATGCAATTGCTAGTCCTTGGAATTATATTTGTTGTGTTTCTTAGTATCCTTTTTTTTATGTTCTCGTACATCATCGACTGAAGACACGCATATTGAAACTTGAACTAATAGTCCACAGTTTACCGTTCACCTGATCTGCCTCTTGTGAATCTAACAATATTACGCACAATCATCAGCCGTGCCATATCAAACATTATGTACATAGTGTAGTTTTACATTGAAGCTAAAGCGATAAGGATTGAAAAATCGTCGTCCTTTGATTATACTGGGCAGGTCATCTTTTAGAATAGTCTATCAGGGCCTGATTGGTGGGGTTACATTACCGGGCATTAAACGTGTGGTGGTGAACCCGCTTTTGCGGGAGTTTGAAAGTTCTCTGCATACATAGTGTGAATTACTTTGAATCCATTGACGCCTCCGTTCTGTGACAGAATGATTCCTGGATACAGCTTCAAAATGACGTCAAGCATAGTATGGATATACTCATACGCTGTATTAATCGACTAGTAATAGAACGAACATCTGAACGTCTGTTATCTAGAATCATTGAAAATTCTAGTTCACACACTTTCACTAATAAATTGTCATCAATTCAATAATGAGAAATTTATTCGGGCAGCGAAAAAAGATGGACCACTAAAAAAATCGTTCTCGTTCCGGCTGTTAATGTTTTAATTGAAATACAAACGAGAGAGACGGCGACAGTATAGGTATTACATCAGTGTGGATCATCGTGCATCGAAATGTCTATTAAACGAAAAAGGGTGAATTTTTTTAACACTGAGCTCCCGAGCGACTGGAAAGCTGCGAAAATCGTATGTGCACAATCGGATCGAGCGCTGTGCACTGTCTGATCCCACGATGTGATCTGAGGAAACTCGCACAGCGTTTGTTTGAACCTATTTTCGTGCGGGAGCAGATGTCACAAGACATAAACTGGACGATTCAGCAACTCGAACACTTCACTCGCTCGAAGTTACTGGATGGCAGATGTAAGAGACTTCGGTGCGTGAAGCCAAACAGTCAGCAGGAAATATTGTTTCCGCCTTCTTGTTAAAGTTAAACCAGTGAACTGCGATAGTGGCGAATATGCTCGACTTTTCTAATCTGTCGCCTTAGCGAGCAAAGAAGCGGATCCAAGAATATAAAACAAACAAACCAATTTCTATTATAAATCAGCCTGCTCCGAGGCTTAACTATCCAGGTCTCTGCTACTTTGGTGTCCGGCAATAATGAGAGCCACTTGCGAATTGGATTGGTAAAACATTATGGGCTTATTCAACGTTGGTATATTAAAAAATCGGCGAACGGTGCTGAAGTCACGCATTTGGAAAAAGACAAAGCAACGCACTCAAGTGCAAACAACAACGATTCACTTGCGCTTGTAGATAGTATTGGTATAGTAGTAGTAGTAAATAGTCATTCAGGGGAAGCTTTGATGGGATGGTTAAAGTAGGGCCCGGGTTTATAGGCAGGCAAACAATAGAAATTAGGTTGCGATCAAGAGAAAGACGCGTTCTTATTGCAGTAGACGGTTTGTTTATCTATCGATCGATCTATCTAGCAATGGCCTTAATCGTTTAATGAAATATATTTAACGAACCTGCTTCGTATTATACTGAAACAGCTTTCAGTGCTAGTTATTCATCCGGACCAAACACGTGATGCTGGCTTTTTGGAAAAACTGACCTTGTAAGTCTAGCACACATGCTGTCTTGCACCTGGGCCTTTGCGACCGCCTACGTTCATGTATAAACGGGCAAGCGCCTGGGATAGGCAAGTAAACCATTTCAGAAAACCTTTGAAGCTCCCAGGTGTAGCGAACAGACCAAAGCCTACGCTCCACAATAAATTAGAAAAAAAGCACCTCCTGGAAACGATCTAGACGTGCCGTATTTGCTTTTGTCACAAACGTTCAATGTCGAAGTATTCGACTTCGGTGAGCTTGATTTAGCTGATATAATGTGGTATTACTAGCCGTGATCGACAGGGAAAACTTGGTCGATAAATACAGGATGAGGCCTCTCGATAGTTACATGGATAGATCTCGATAGATTATATCGCCAGATGTAGAATGTAGATTCGCAATCTACCTCCAAACATTCATGCTTCTGACGACATAACCAAAAGCGTAGATATCGAAAATCGTTTGGATCAGTCGAAAATTGAAATTTAAGTACAGAAGGTCAGAAGTAGAACCGTTCGGCGCTCACAGGATCATCATCCGGCACAGAAATGACGAAGTGGGTACGTTAGGCAGACAGGTACACAGAGCTAAATACAGGTAGATAGCGTTCTACACCGTTCACCTCTTCAAGTACCTCAAGAGTATTGTTCAATAAAGCTGAATCCTATTTCGATATCTATGTATGTATTCCATACCTACTAATGCCAACAGTCGCCGAAATACCATCTACAGTAGAACTGACAAATTCTTCTACTTGTGCTTACTTTTTTTTTACTATCATACAAAATACGTTTTACAGGTATTATGTGTTTTTTTCTGCTGCTATGTAACGTATCCAATTCAGATGTTCAATATGTAACAGCCTGGCCTGTCACATAAAGACGAATATGGCCTAGTCGTTTAATATGTTTTGTCTAATTATTTTTGGTCGAGAACTAAAAAGAAAAATCCTTCTATCGGAACACTTAGTCTACATTAGTTATCTTTATTTGTTTTTTATTATTATTATTATGGTTTCTTTATTTAGTTACACGCATTGTGTTGTATATAAGTAACAGCGTCGGCTTGGATTATCGCCTGAGATGAGTAAACAACAGACGGTGGGGGGTCTCTTTAAGGGCATGTGTCGGCACTTGCTAGTCGTCAAATACGCTACCTTTTCCTTACAATTAATACTGATTATCCTCTTGTCGACGGTCTCGCACAGATAGTAAGTTATATCTGACCGTTTAACTACACCGTTATTTAGTTTCCACCACAATCGGTTCAAACAAGCGGGTAAATTTCGTTCTGACATATGTCACCTCTGATATTTGGAGGAGGCATAGTATAACTTTTACACACTAAAGACCGAAGCTTCAGATTTGATCTGAGGGCGGTTGGGCCCAACCATGACACCTTATTCCAACCAAAGTGCAACATTATATTTCAAACGTGAGCGATCTCGCGTCAACATCGGTAGTAGTGGTCAGTTCATTGTTTTTGCTATCGCACTTTTTCTATACAAATCTGATTGACTTTGGCTAGAATCGCGTGAATTAGAAGTTTAGGCAGTAGATCCGGTTACTTAAATATTAATATTAACTAAGTAACTAAACCAAAACACATGAAGAAGAAAAACAGATTTATTCAATCGGAATGGCGGTATAATATTTGGGAATCGAACGTTCGTGTGTCCTGACCCGGTGCTACGGTCTGCTACCGTTCAGCAAAAACTACCCTAATTCTTTTTATTGATTTGCTTGTGAAACCCGTACCTCTATCTACTAACGGCTAGTTTTTCTGCAGCTATCTTCGGATTCTACCAAATGTGGCTGCACTGATTCACATAAAAATGTGGATTGAATGCACTTAAGCAAAGAGGTCTTTGAAACGGGACTTGTTGCGACTATTATATTGTTGGTACTATAGTTTACTACCATGATTACCCATCATTTGTTACACAAACGGCCGTTAATAGCGTTACGTTTTGATGGGGATTCCATACAAATCAATAGAAGATCACACGAAATTATGAAATATCGGTTTTTGACCCGCTAATTTATCTATAATACATCGAATGCATAGAAAGCTACCAATATCAATTTGCATTTCTGCAATAGTATTTAGACTGACTGAAGCCTCTATGACGACATCATCGTGTTTGTTTGGTACGATCAGTGACCTTTCATCCCGTCTCACTGTACTGCAGATGTATGGCTCCCCGAATCCGCAGTACAACTTATTTAGTACTAATATTTTTGTTTAGGGTTGTAGTTTACAACTTAACCAGAAACGCTCTCATGTTCTGAATCGCCCTATGTCGACTACACGTACGAAAAAACAAAAGGGGACTTCATGCGCCCCATGGCCGTGGTCACCTGTCGTACGCTGTTGTGCTGGGGCGGAGTGTCACTACGTTAATGTGAAATTAAATCGGCTAGACGGCGGGCCTCCCGCTGACCCCGCTGACCTCCAGCAACGTTGCAGTTAATAAAGTTGTATGTTTTGTATCATTGACGGGCTATGTGTCATCTAGAAATACGGTTCTCGGCCGAAACTATTTTACGCTATACTTTAGGACAAACTTGACTGTGTTTTAAAGCCGAGTGTGACCGGTTCAAATGAATAGTATTATATTTTCTTTATCAGGTCACGATTGCAGATTGGAATCGTATAAGGACATCTGTGCAAACTTGCCCATTAAAGAAGTATTGGCTCTTTTTTCTTTGTCTAAAGTTTTGCTACATCAACAACCATAGCTGTGACGTTTGCGCTTCATTTTTCTGCCTAGTGTGACACGCAATCGGGAAACTACTGCGTTAAATGTACATTAATTAATTAAAAAAATTAGTACATAAATTGTTCTCTACAGTCGGGTTAACTACTCAACCAATCAGCGGGAAAATGGCAGTGCATAACAATAAGATCTATACATTACTAAATCAAATGCCTTGTAGATGTTGAGTTATTGCTAAAAGGCAACATGTAAGTTATATAAAGATGGCGTAGAACATTTTCCCCACCGACAATGAAACTGTGCCAGCTTCTACCTAGATGTAGAGCAGCGAAAAAATTTACTGAATTTCATAATTCTACACAAAAGCAAGCTTTAAGACCCGGTCAAGGCCATACGACCCTATTCGAAGACCCTCAAAACATGGTTTTGAGTCAAGTACATGTTAGAGCTAGCTCCAGTGGAAGCATTTCGCGCCACGCTTGTCAAAACTATACATCACTCTCTAATGACGAGCTTAGCAGCCCACAGAGAATCTAATCTTTTGATCACTAATCAATTGCATGATGAGCAATCTTTTGGTCTATACCGTCAAAGCCAAATGATCCGTTTTTAGAAATTTTCCGAAGGTTTCGTTGCTTTATAGCGGTAAATGGGCAACCCAGAAAATGCTCACCCCAAATTAGTACTTGACCCAATAATAACTCGCCGAAATTTGCATCAGTTGATTTTTCTTGTCGCTTGGAACCCGTACCAAATAAATAGAAAGCAGCTGTGGCAGTCAGTTAGTCCACAGGTTTGTCCGACATCATTAGATATGTGTTCTAGTGAACCGGGTCAATCATCAAATCCTGCTAAATAAGCGTATTGATCAGTGGACAACTATTTTTTAAATAAATATCCTTATAATTATCCTTATATCGTTTATACTTATCTATGAAAAAGGTCTGCTTTTTACATTAATTAATAGCTTTAACGTTTGATCGAATCTGTCCAAGTAACAAAGTTTTTGACTAAGTACCTTTGAGAGTCACTGTGTGTATGACAGGTACCGTCCACATTAATTAATATCGAGGAAATATATATATGCGCTTCATAAACAATAGATATTCGAGTCAATTATTATTTGTATGTAAGGCTATTATTAGGCCTGCGTTGCTGTTTCAGGCCAAGTCTCAAATTTGTAAGTTCTCCAGCAGCAGCAGCAGCAGCAGCATAGATCGAAATAAGTCCGGGTTTCTTTCCACAAAAAGCCTAATACTTGATTATATTTAGTGTAGTTTCAGCTAATATTGATAGCGTAAACTTCCCGAAAAAGATTGCCAGATTGTCCAGAATATGGAGATGACCTGGAAATATATACAGCTCATCTACTGGAAGGTAGAAGTGAGGGGATTCATGAAAGATATAAATTAATCAGTAATGGTGCTTAATAGTACCGTTGGGCAGCGTCACTTATGGATATATGCTAATCTCACCTCGCGATAATTTGTTACGATTCTACAGATAATTATAATTATGTCAGTACGGGTCATGGACCTTCGATTCATTCTTTGGCTCGGTAAGCAACGTGGATTTTATAAGAAGAAAAAGCAAACATGTCACAATACGCAAGTTGCGCAGACCAATTAAAGATTTTATATACATTTCTTTTCCTCCATATGCCATAGAACATTTTGCCACGGCAAAATGACGCTATTGAATTGATCTTCAGCAGTGCAGCTTTAGAGGTTACGGGCCGAGATATAGCTTCGTTTGGTTTATGGAAGTAGTTTTTCGGTTGCTGCTTCGTTTTTTTACTTGCTCAGCCATAGATATCTGTCACATAACAGCACGTTCGAACCAGCGACGTCTGAAGCGGACGCATCCATGTGCCAAACTATTACGGTAACGGCAATAGGCCACGACGGAGCAACAGCGTGATTATGGAAAAAAAAACACAGAAATACTATATCATCTCTAAGGATCTAATGATATTACCTCATATTTCACTGCTATTCTGATTATATATTACGTGATGAAACACGTAACATGTGGGTGCTTTAGCATTTCCTCAAATCTTCGCTATATCGTCTTCTGGGACGCCTTCTTCAAATCGCGGTATGTTGATTTTGACCGTTCTATTACATTTTCCTTCGCTGGCCCGTCGCTGGTTGGTAGCTATGTGTCAGATGTTGAAATGTAATGGATAGACTATCGTACTATTATAATTGAATAAAGGAAGATGTTTTGGCCATGACGATTGCCAGTGTTTATTATCATTCAATTGGTAACCTATGTTTAATGAGACTTTGTTGGGAGACGAATATATGGCCTGCCTATTTAACATGATACAGTGGAAATTACGGATTATTAGTTACCCTACCTAGTTATATGGCATGTTGCTCGGTAAATACGGTAAAGTGTTTTCGTACTTCTACGATTGCTTCTAACGTTCGCCTATTTTAGTAAATATGTTATGACGGCTTTCTTTAATTTCTCATCACTTTTTAACTTTAAACAAAATTAAACTTTAAGTACTTAATAACTGAATAGGCCCATTTTTGTTACTCGACATTTTCTGGATTTGTTCTTGTATATTATTCAGGCGGCTTTTTACCCTTTAAATCGCATCATAAAATGAATTTCAATCCATAATAATTCAATGTCTCCATTCCATAATAATTTCTATAGCCAAAACGTTAAGTATTGGACACAAATGCTTGTATCTTGCCACCGAATAGGAAGAGATCAGCGCACCTTGTGGCATTTCGAGAGAACGATAGAACTTCCATGCGCGACAGTAAAAAAAAACGATCCCGCGAATACATCCGACCACGCCGACTTGGTTCGACGTCAGGTGGCGCATGGAATGAGCTTCGCGAAGGCCACTGCTTACTCCAAGCGTCGGCCAACAGTACGCGACCCGTTCGTAGTATAATACGAACGCCGGTTCGTAGGTGCGAATAAACTAGTGCGTTAGAGCGGTAATCCTTACTTCGGGACGGCTGCTCGCCCTTTGGGGCAAAATAGACAATTCAACCAACAGCGTCCAAAGTTTGCTCTACCTTGGTGGAACCTGTGAACAGCTAGGGATGGCAGGCTATACCATTAAGCACAGTTAAAAGGCCACTGCTCATCTTGACTGTGTTAAGATTTCTAGCTGGTCAACGATAACCGCAATGGTTGCGCCGATCTGGTTAGTATTGTGGCATTGTTGATCGTGACGCCGCTGTTGTTTTTATTGTTGTTGACGCGTCCGTAAATGTTATTGTCGTCGCCATTATTGTCGTCAGGATGCGAACATTATAAACGCGCTGATGATCACCTCCTCTGATATTCGCACGCTGCTACCGATGTAGATCAGTGGCCACCAAATGGCACTTCGTCTTGTCCCAAAAGAAAAATAGAAATGAGGCTACGAGGGAAATGGTTTTCGGTAAGGCCGCGTACGGACAAAGTAGTGTTGGAGAAAAAAGGGTGTTGGATATCAGCTTTTATGATCTTTTTAACACACTGGGGCAGACCACACTTGACAGGCGAATGGCCACATCGAATTGTAGAATGCAAAAATCGTGTTCCGCAATGAATTGTGTTTTCAAGCAGACAGACAGACAGACGTACGCGTAGGAGCAGGCCGTACATGGCTGAACGTTTTGTTGATGGACACGTTTGGCAGAACTGGTCTGGGGCTTGTTTGTACCACACTCAGTTCTTTCGGGCAGGAAAAAGCCGCCCCATGTATGTATATGTTACCGTGTTAGATAGGGTGTTATTTAATAAATAGTTGTATTTAATATAAAAGAACAAGGGGCCGGCAAAGGTTAGACATCGTCAGTAAAAGTAGTTTCAGCATCATCTGTATTTATCCTATACAAGCAAGTGAAATCATAGCAAACCACGTGATCCATACACCGTGGTGATGGGTGGCTCACGTTTAGCCACGCATCCTTACATTTCAATTCAGGCCACGGTTTTTGAAACATCGGTCCACGATGATGACGATGATAGGGCTTTGTCGAAAAGGTTGCTTGTTTCCTCGCTGGTATCGATCATCGTCAGTCTGTGATCCGCTGTTCGTTTATCCATTGTTTAATGGCCTGCTTGTTGAAATTACAAACCTTGAAAGCCTATAGATATCCTTTTGTGCGAAGTTTCAAACCTCCAGGCACCCATTGCTGAAACAGTCTGCGCATGAAATATTACGACATAGTGTGTGTACGCGCAAGTTTGATTTACTTTCTTACGCAACTAAAAGTACGTTCGACGAATATTATCTGCCACTACTTTGTAGTATAATATAGGGTGCGACTGTTAGCAAAGAAGATACCCTGGGCAGTGGAACGGCTCTGTTTACAAATGTGTTCCTGTGCAGGAACTGCGAAGGGCGAAACAAGGTTTTCCAATAGTCGTATCAAATCAGGACGTCTAACATTGAATTTACAAGTGAATGAACATTTAAAAATGTTGACGGTAACTTAAGGTCTATTGAGGATGTGTTTCTGCTTTTGTGTCACGCACCACCTGACAAATACCATCCCACGCTTTTTCTTTTAGGACTCTAACAGTATAATGACAAGGTAGAGTTCAAGCTAGTCTGAGCATGTTACTAGTTTGTCGCAAGAGTCGTTCATCGAGAAGTTCTTTCCATATAGTCAGAGTCCTCTGTCGATCTCAGAACTTCTTCAAATCCGTTACGGCTAGAATTGGGGCCGTGCGATGAAACCAGCATGAATGCTACACTGGAGATTATCGAATCCGCTCTGTTATGGATATCTAGACCCGGTATGGGTTTAGTGATGGTACGATTTCATGCTGCTACATTGACCGTCGCCTGGCCGCAGCGGTTCGCGAAGGGACACAGGAAATCATTAAACGCTAGAGACTCGAGCGATCTCGAACAGGAATAACAAATCCTTGCATCGTTGAAGATCTAACCGAGATGTTTCTCGGTGAGGAGACGATGACACCATGAAAAAAGGGGGAAGAAACGTAAGCTGGCGTGAGACCTTATCGAGCCAATCACAATCGATCGATAATCGCTCGAATCCAGATCTTTGGCCAAAAAGCTCTGCCCGTATTTCCGTGTCGATGTGTTCTTACGGGGAACGCAAGAGAACGAGGGTACCGCTACGACCAAACGTAATGGTACGTGAACCCCTATTTCGAGAGTGAACAAAGTAACCACCCTGAACGATACTCCGTTACAGCCGCTGCTTTCTTATTGGCAAAGAGATTGACACATTGAGCAGCGCAGCAAATCCGCCCTGCGATCCACGATCACTGCCGAGCATCCTGCGGACTCGGACTGTTCAGCTTGTTTGATTCTTCTTTGAGTAACCCTCGGAGAGGCCAAGAAACGGCCTCATAACTAGCACAACCGGGTCAGCTGTTTAGTGAGATATAAAGCTTCTTGTGGCTTCCGACAAGGCTCAGATCCACATATGTGAGGAAAAACCTTTATGAATGCTATCGCATAAAGAGGCAGTCCTTCAGCAAGGCGGCCGTCACGACGACGACGACTCCGTTATCAAACTACGAGTGCGCTTCGATCGAATCTTATTCAAGAGGTATGTACTAGAAACAAAATGCATTGGGCACCTTGAGTCGTTAATAACCAAGAGTTTCACTACTTTTGCAATAGATGCTATCGTGTGCCTACTTGTAGTGATAACTGCCGGTGATGGATTAATGCCATGGTCAACTTTCGTCGTATAGTAGAAGTATATAGCATATTGGTCCTAACCTATGCTGTGAGCTTAGTGCTTTGTATATGTGATGTACCGTGTACCTATTCATTTATTACTTTATTTAATTGCACATGAAAATAAGGGACGCTATTAAAAATAGTTTTAGCCTATTTGTGCCTTTTAACGCTGGATGAAACCATGCCCACACCATCGGCACCTTGTGGCTGTGCGTGTCGCCTTCGCTTTAGGTTAGACAGTATACGGCAGCTGACCGATCGTGTCGACTGAACCTATCGATCCAACAGCACCGGCATAGGACGATATCTATCCTCGAACGAAGGCGATTAGAACCGAATCGAACATTTACGGCAAAAAAAAGGAACGACTTTGCTAGCCCTCGCGGCCGATCTTTATACAGAGATTTCTAGTAGCCAATTGCTTCTTACATTACTGTTTGCCTACGACGCTTCGATAGTTTTAACGTTGTGTCCTATCAATGGTAGAACACGCCGGCCACTCCTGCCTTTTATTTCATTCAATATTTAACCCACGTTGATTTCATAGTATCTTGCCCAGTGTCGGCTTTGTGCCTCCTTCCCGCTACTCGACTCTGCGTCATTTTATCCGAAATAAAGCCAATCAATTCGATAAACTTACCGGCAGGTCAATCAAAGCACACCGAAAGTGAAAAAATAACAGATCGCGCAGGAAAATTCCTGTAACCCACAGTTCTCTATAAACGCCCACATCATCCATCTGCGTAGGTCGACGGTTGTATCAGCGTCAGATTCCATGGTACCGCCGTGCTGCGCTTCACTGGATGGATGTGTATACATACGTATATGTGTTCATTGCAGCAGGGACGGTAGCGTTGGGTTTCGGGCATTGTTCCTGCGACGTTGCCATTTTAATCGCACGTATGAGTTCGTCTCACTTGGCGAGCCCACTGCCATTCGTCTTTGCTATTGCTGCTTCTACCATGTCTTCGACCGGCCGAAGTTCTTCTTCGTATACTTGACGCCGACTCGCATCATCTTTGCTGAAAATTAATTATTTCTTGCCGTTATAGCTATTACAATTGTAACGAAGGCTACTGGTGACAGCAAAGGTAGTAACGGTAATACTAGCAGTAATGTGTAGAGCTTCGCGTTAGCGCTACGATCAACGATGCACTTCCGTTGTTACTTCCCGAGCTAGACGAAGCAGTTATTGTAACAACTATAGTTCAGGTGCAGAAGGCAAGACGGCGCTGGTTGCAGCTATGGTCATAAGCAAACCAGCGAAGAACAATGCGTAGATAGAAAAACCCACATATTTTATCTTAAGAGTCAGCCATATCAAAAAAAAGAATGGGCAAAACGTCGTCGTAGCTTCTGTGGATAAATTAGAAGGCACATCTTGCCGCTACAAGTGCAACAGAAGTCGCTAACAGTTACTCAACAAGAGCGGGACTCTCCGCCGCAGCTGGGTATCATTCGATATTTGGAGGCGCTCGTCCTGACAATACGCTTCGGTTTGTGAATCCATTGCCGCTAAGCCGACCCAGACCCAGACCCACTGGTTAACTGAGCTTAGTCCCGTTAACCTCACATGAATCCAGTTGATAGATCTGAGAATAATCCCGTACCGGTAATAGTTAAAAGAATTATAGCTGTAAGGAAATATAATAACAGTAACGATAATAATACTATACTCTGAGGTCAGAACGGATTTTTATATACATGCTTGTTTTTGCGTGTTTCTTGAGAACAAGCCTAGGTGGCCTTAAAGGTTTCTCTGACTTTTATGTGTAGAATTGACGGGAATAACGTACACATATATATATATAGACATACTATGCTTCATGTTGTGACTTCTCGAGGGCTGATTGATTAGGTTTACCACAATCTAACAGCTCTAGATAGAGCACTAGGGAGCAAATGACGTACCTGAAAAGATTAATAACTGCTGTGTCGAGCGCTTGCCAATTGTGGGGCAATGGAAAGTTACTATGATGTCCAACAGCACATTCGAGCATGTTTAGCCATATCCTGCCAAGAGATAGAACTGGAAAAGCAAGCATGAAGTGAGAACGGTAGAATAATATGTTACGTGACGCATCCATGATTCTCAGCGAACATCCCTCGGCCTCCTCCTGCGACCCCGCAAATATCTGCGACAGTGATTCTGTTTTGTCACAACGTCAATCGGTCGACAATTTCCTCTTTAGGAGCAGTTAGACATTAAAATGGGCCTGCTGTTGATCGTTATGTTCCGCCGTCAAAAGTTGACACGCGCTCAATTTGACTGTTGCTAAAACAGCCTCGGAATCGCAAGCATTATGGCTTTCCGATCTAGGCTGTGTAATGATGCGTGTGGACCGATAGAGAAAAGGCAATCGCATCTAGAAGTGACTAGAAAAGATAAACTGTCTATGTAATTTGACTTGAGGGCTCCTGCCACAGTTTCTTGTATAAAATATGGTGTTTCGTTCGAGCGACTTCGCGTGAAGTGACCATCTTCCATGCGAAACGTCAGCGGAGCATTTGCTTAGGGTCTTCTTCAGCGTAGCCCGGTGAGTTAGCTTTCTCCATGGGGGGCACAGGAGGCAGATACTTCTTGTGCAGTGCGTTGCCATTGCTGAACAGGTCGACTGTTAATGAACTGGACGAACAACGCTTTCAAAAAGCCGATGCGACCAACTAGCGGCTCGTGGGGCATTGTCGTTTAAAACACTTATAAAAGTGCCAAACAAAACGGTTGACTCGTGTCGGTATAAAGCGCTTGCTACTAAGACGACATGGAAGAAGCTCGAAACCTTGAATCTGATCGGATGAACTTTGGATAAAGTGGGAACAAATGTAAATGGAAGGTTGTAAAACACCGTAGATCGTATCGTATTAGGTCTTCGGTGCTGTTGAATAGACGTAAACGAGTGAGATAGGTTTAAAAACCTGTGAATGAATGTAGAAACGATTTCATATATTCGACCATTAAGATCAGCCTAATGTGCAACGACTCCGCGAATCGATGAGATGAGTTCAGCTCCATTAATAAACTACACAATGGTGTAATAATTTAATGTGAGTTTTCCTTTTGACACAATCTAGTACACAAAAGATTGTGTTAGAATAGAGCTATCTTGTCATTGTTGGCAAACAATTCGCCGTATGAAGTTCCATATATATTTCCATTGAGAAAAGGGCGCACCTTTGTATCTAGTACATCATAAGGCAAAAACGACAATGCCTATAGTATTTCACTACTCAGAACTAATACAACTTTACTTCCGAACGATCATCCTATTCCGGAAGTACCTTGAAACAAATGCAAGCCGGAGCACGTTATCGACTATCAGATCACTGTTTGTTCATATGGCAGAGCACCCTAACACGGGCTCAACCCACTGTCAGCTTTTATATCCAGCGTTGCGATATTAATGACAACAGCACTATTTTATCACAGATTGCCCCCCCGACGGTAGGGCGATCTCTACGATTTATCTATTTTTGCTCAAGAATGAATTGTAGATTAGAGATATATGGATGAAGGACCACATCGCTTATCCATTTACTGGTTTTGCTGCTGCTGCTGCTGCTGGTGCTGGTGCTCCTGTGTTTTGATCAACTGCGCGAAGAGTGCTTGAAGTGCATGAGGTTTTCAAGCCCATTGTACTGGATATAGAGTCATGCATGAGAACGCCACGAAACGCTACTCTATATGGTCTTCTTCCCGTTTGAAGAACAAGAAGATATTGCCCCGACAATAGTAGATCAAAGTTCTTGTTTTGCAGTCTAATTCGCCCCTGAAGACAAGCATTACCAGCCGCTATTATATTTATACGGCATTTCCGCTTGATCATGTAAGTTGTTTCAAGCGTTTACCACGGGAGCAATTGTTATTGGTGACTCTGATCAGCCGATTCTCGTTGAGATAACATTGTACTGATACACAACAACATTCCAGCGACTTGATTATACGAAGACCTCTAGAAAATTCACGTAAACAAGTTTGATGTATTATTCATTAACCAGTAACTGACTGGTCGTTGGGCGTTCCCCTTTCATTGCCTGTCAATGTAAAAAAAAAAGGGCGAAGTTATTTTACCGTGCGAAAGGATGCAGGGAAATATCTAGTCCAATGGGTGTAGCTTTATAATGTAACCGTATGATTGGGCTCGAGAAAACTGATCGGGCCTAATAATAAAACAAGGATGACAATAAGTCGTTAACCGTATATGTTGCTCGGTCTTTGTTAGTCCAAATCTAAGAGAAAACCGAAGCATTACCCTAGCAGGATTTTTCGTCGTTGCCATCTTATAACGAACAGAACCGTATCTCGTTAATGGCTGCCTATTGTCACACGAGCGTGTATGCTCTTTACCAGATATTAAACGTCATTTCATTGGATTGGTTCATCAAAAACACTTTGTAATATATATTTACATAGAACAAACTGGCAATTTGTCAACGCTAAAGATCTTAAAGCCTTTGGTAAAGCTAAACTTAACAGGGAACGAGCGGTCACTGCGAACTTCTATTCTCCGCGTTGTGAAATTTCCAAAAACCAGCGTTCGGCAAAAGGTCGGCGTCAATAGCAATATCGCCACTATGTAGCGTCATAGATTTGCTGGTTCTGAGCTAGCTAAAAAAGAAGCCTTATCGACCGCCTGTAAAGGGTCCATGATAACGCTCTTCATTGGACGCCTGTGCTTCCTTTCATCGCATCTGGTAGCGCTTCTTTGACGTTTAGCGCTACGATGGCTGTCGCCGCACGCATTGACTGAAGTGATTTTAATGACGTATCTGTGTTCTACCGCTGCCTGTACGTAGCTGAGTTAACGTGAAAAAAGGCGACAACGCTCAAGTAGATTTACTTTAGAATGACAAAAATAATAACAAAGGGTATTTCAATAAATTAACAGGAAACGAAATGGTGTAGGCGTCACTTATAACTGTAATTTATCTAATTTAGATAGTCTTATGTGGTAAGAGCACGGCTGAACGGGAGCTGGTAATCAATCGGGCGATGACAAACTTTTGTGATTAAAAAGCTAGCAAAGCCGAACCCTTCACGCGATGCCATTGGACATGATCGAAAGCAGTTGTATTATGGATCTTTAAAAACCTATAGGCTAAAAATACCACGTGCCCCTATGGCTCAAGGTTGAACAGAGAAATCTGGAACCGGTCGATCTAGATTAAAAAATAAAACGTGCGAGACGCCCAAACTTATGGTGTTCCCCCATGATCGTGGATTGTGATCTTGAGTGCAAAATCATGTCTAGCGAAAGTTCCATAGGGGTATCCAAGCCATTGCCACCGACGTACGTTGAATGCGTTGGATTGCTTGCGAATCTTTTTGTTTTAGCTTTAGTTAACTTTTCCCCGAACGAAGTTTTCAATTCTATGTTAAGTTTAAGTCACTCATTTAATGGCAAAATCGACGCCGAGGCGAAAATATCGCCGCACCACCGCAGATTGATACCAAGTAGATCGAGCGCGTTCACTCCCGCGCTTTACAACGACATGCTACTATTCATAGAACTTCATTGCCATAAAGCTTATAGCACTGGCATAAAATATTGATCGAAATGTCATGAGTTAAAGAGTTATGAGAGATAAAGTTGCGTTAACACAACAACCAGTCGTGCGTTAAAGCTGGCTAGCAAACAAAATTTACAATAAACTTGGCAATTGGAGAGTTAAATTTCTTTTATACAAGGTTTGCACGATATAATGTCAGTAGACAATTTATCAAATCAGACTTCTGAATAGATTTCTATCTAGTATATATAATGTACATAATAAGAACGATACACGATAAATGCCTATTTGCGCTCAGCTCACGACTATCTCAGACATTGTTGCTATAATCCTATAATACGGATTTATTAATTGTGATACCGTGTCGAAGCAGGAGTAGCTGGAGAGTGTACAGAAAGTCTAGCATATTGGCATTCAGAACATTATCGTGATATCAGTGGCAAAAAAATACCACAGCAATAAAATCTATTCATACGTCTTATCTGATTATACCTTAGAAGGTAGATCGAGTGTTTGGCGAACGCCATCGTTCTGGACTTAGTCGTATATAGACTCGATAGTCAAGTCGAATTTTCACAATGACACATACTTACATTTAAAAATAAAAGGTCAAATTTAAGGCTTTCGTATCCTCGACAAGATGATACCATGTCCACCTCTAAATCCCTCAGACCGTGACCACATTACGATATAATACGCTTAGATATGATTAAACATTGTTCCATATGACGTGTCGGTTACACATCAATGCGCTCGTACGCAGATTCTATGAGAAACTGCAATCCCTGCCGGAAATCGTTGCTACCCTCATTCACCTCTACGAAACAATAGCACAGTTCCTCCTTGTGCACCCCTCGACTAGTACGCAACTACTCGAGTTGTCAGCATCGCTTATACGTTTATTTGGTTCTGCTCGTTACCGTTCTATCGAAGAGGTGCTTAACAAAAATCGACCACTTTTGCTCTGAGTGGGTACACCTGTTACCCCTGCGGCATCTACTGGCACCTGGCTACACTGGCTGGGCAGCTCTAACCGTCAATAGCGAAGCGATGGGTCGATCGTCAGTCTTTCACGTATCCACCAATCAATATGCGAACCAGTCAATTGATCGAAATCACTTTTTTCGAAAAACTTCGCTACGCACACATCCGCCACGAGGCGATCGGTGAAATAACCGACTGACTGATGAACTTCAACATGTGGTTCTCAATGGTGCATGAAATCTGGACCCTTCAGACTGAGGCGTTGTTGATGTTGAAGGGGCGTCGAGCGTCCTGACGTCAGGTCCACGCCGGCACTGTCGTCATGCTTAGCGCCGTTCACACAGCTGCTGCGACTTTTTTACACGATTTGCGACGAGCTTCTTGCAGGGCGACGTGCCGCAACGGAACTGTTCCCTGTTCGCGTCCCAGAGTCACTCGATGAGTCGTTTGTTATTCCACAATTTTTTTATGTTTTTCTTATCATCACAGCTGTCGCCGGCTGCGTCATCTTCACCCACGTTCTTTTATTATTATTCCTTTGTTTATTTGTATCGAAATTTTGCGAGTACCACTGCTGTAAGTGATGCCGCTGCTGTATCACCGCTTCGATGTCTGTCGCAAAACGAAACGTCTCTGTGTGCGGTCGGCTGGGTGTGGGGATTAGAGCACATTGGGCGTGAAGGCTATGCAGTAGCTACGGGGGCGAATCCTTGAACAGTTTTCCTGAATCACGGCAAGTTCAACATCACAGACATTCACATAAAAACGCTATTATAGTTATTGGAGCAATTGCCCGTCAGCAGATATCATTAATCGAATGCTACCACTCTGAAGGTAATCATCAGCGTAATGACTGCTGACATCATGACCAGCGCAAAGTCTTTCATTGAGTATCAAAGCGTGCTAGTTGATATTGTTACAGTTTACTGATATTGGCGTGGCAGTCAATTGTGGTTTCATCATTTCTTGCGAAGTTCCCATTTGGCCGTTATACTCCACAATATGCTTAAAATGTTGTCTATTAAAACGATCCCTAGCGACGTCGATGACGCTGTGTTATGAGAGCGTCATCGGTGCCAGAATAAATACGTAAACAACAATACAGTTGTAATCCGCTGATCGATCGAGGACAAAAAACGCATTAAATAGAAAACGTTAGCCTGCAAAAGCAGAGTTGTGACCACGTGACCAAGTGGCTTCGTAGACTTGTCAGAGGATGGCAAAAACCAGCGAATTCGACTGATGACGTAGAAATCTGATGTTTTCTCAAGCTTTGTGTTATCGATGCATTGACCTGCCTCTTTTCCTGTCATTCGGCCTCATATTTTCTTTTTGGGTTTTACTCGTTTTCTTTTTCGATAGAATATCTTGTTGGGTCCTGCTCACTTGGCTGTGCTCAGCTAGCTGTTATGCCTTGCTCCCAACATCTCTCACTTTTCGGTTTTGCCTCGAACGCCCCCTTTGAATCATCGATAACATGTTTCTCAGTTTAGATGTTTGGTAATAAGTGAAGGTCCTCATTCTTTCTATACCTCAAAACACTGTCATTGTAAACCTTATTTGTTTATCTAATGTCGTCATTATTCCATTGGTTGACGATAGATTCTTTTCCACAAAGAAATCTCTTTATTTTTCCAACGACCGAAATAGCAGTAGTTAAAACCACACCTACTACTGTTTTGCATTTGTTATGGTTTGATATGTCATAATTTAAGCTCGTGTTCTTATTATTATATAGGAAAACAAATAAAAGGCACGCAGAATCAGCAAATCTTATCAAAGCCGATAGCACCATACCAGCAGTTTAGAAGCTTGGCCGATTCAACGTTCATAGAAGAGAGAGGGAAAGGGGGTGTTGATAAACCCACTGAAAAATAAAACGAGAGATCAGCCGCCAACAATAGTCCGTATCCCCCAACTCTTACTGGAAACAATGTTTTCTCTTGGAACCTCCTTTGTAAGAAAGAAGTATATTTTGCCTGCGCTCATCGGCAGCAGCCGGTCAAACTATAACATGTATAATAATTTTTGGAACTAACTTAGTCATGTTACTTCGGACACCGCACAAATATACCTATATTAAACAACAAATACAATAATATAAAAAAAGGATAACCGCAGGAATCAAGTACCATATGCATACCGTGTTGCCACGGCAAGATTAGCCAACCGTTAGGGACGAATTTGTACGGGAGCACGAAGAGGATCGTCACTTAGTGAAAGGGGTCGGCGGAACTGTTCCTGCTACCGAGGAAAATATTTACCCCCGCCGTTCGGCGACGGTGGAAACGTTACTTATACGATGCAAAGTCGGTCTGCAGTTCGTGGTGCCTGAGGTGGCGGTATTTTTTTTACTATGGCAAGTTCACGGCGTCGCCAATCCTGAGCCATGCTGTGTCGTGTTTCATAGAGCTCCGTGCTGCTGAATATCTGGAGCGCTTCGTTTCCTTCGCCGCCAACGCGCGAGGGGCTGGCAAGGGGCAAGCGGTGACGGTAGTTGTGATAACGCTCTTTCGCGCGGATCAGCCCAGCCTGCTGACTGGCCGTAATGGCAAACACATGCCGGGACCCCATAACGACCAGGGCGCTGGCAGACACAACAGTGGAAAGTCGTCCATGATCAACGTCCACATTGGGCAAAGCAAAAACGTAGCTAAGATACAGCACGAAAAAGAACGACGAGAAGGTATTGACGATAACAGTACACGCACGTAATAGACAGTACGAAGAGTGCAGCTGGGAAGCTTCCGCACGGCTGCGCGGAACCCCGTAGAAGACGACGCGTACCGATCTGAACTGGACGTATTGATACGGTGATGGTGTATCGTGGGCGTAATGTGATTAACCGCTAGGCATTTTGTTTATGGATATTGGATTGTATTAAGGTCATTGAATTGCGTCACGAATATACTATAGGAACGTGAGCTTCGGGTCGTAGAAATTTGGCAAATCGAAGTCGAGCTGCGAGCTATTTATTTATTTATTCCAAGCTCGAAAATTCAATAAAGAGACAGAGAGACAACGCGTGGATAACTATCGTGAAAGTTCAACGTAGGCGTTCGGATCAGCATTGCCGAAGTGCACAAGCTTAAGCTGAAGTGTGGTGAAGGATACCGATTCATGTGAGTGTGATGCTGCCCTAAATGCAAGCCGTTGTGTTGAAGGAGTAATACTTACTGTTTATAAGATAACACGGGTGTAATGCGTATGTGTAAGTAATTTGCCCTGGGTGCAATTCGTGTTTGCACCGTATTGATTCGTTGTTTAGAAATATACGTGGCTATGTATTTTATTATTTTGTTTATGTTAAACTTCTGCATTGGTCACCTGCAGCAGACTAATATCAACAGCAGGTAATGTAGCTCGAGGTTAAAAAAAAAATGTATCGGCATAACGTGAACGATACGTTACGATAAACGCTTGATGTAAAGTTAAATCTAAATACCTCCACATATAACTATTATAGTTTTTTGGTATTTACTATTTTGCTACTACTACTATTTTTACTATTTTACTGTTCGAGTATTTTGGCTTACCCTATGGAGATAACTCAACCTTCGGCGTTCAATGATCGGGTGTTATAATAACTTAAATGCTTTCTTATAGTTACTAAGTTTTTAATGTATATCTTATTCGGGCCAAATATATACCCATGAGACAAAGAGTGGTGAAATTGTAATCGTCTCTGAACAGCGCAATATTTACTTTGGCACATTTGTGTTGCACAATTGATGACAGGTGTTGCTAGATTGCGCTAGAATTTTTTTCATCAATCATAAAATCCATCAGTCGTAAACTGCAGAACCTTCGCTAGCATAGTTCAAGTCAACCACGGTTAGGTGTTACTGTTTAATACTGAGTCTGATCCTAACATTTACAGGCAACAAATAATTGATAAAAAAAAAAAAAAACTTTTTTCTGCAACTAAAATATGTACAACAGGATAACTTTCGCTCTGCAGAAAACTTCCCCAACTTCCGGATACATCACGTAAAAGAATAGACTGATTCTATTGGTTTAGTTCGCTACTCGTATATAAACGCGATGTGTTCAGGGGTCGCAGAAACCGAGCCCGAATACTTCAACAAATTATGATTAGTAATCTAAAAAAACCGAATAAAAAGGTACTCGCGCTAGAGCGAAGCGGTGCCTTGTTTAGGCACCGCTTCGTTCTAGTGCTAAAAGCGAATTCTCGTTTCCGCATTTTGTCGTAAGAGTCAATGGACGCCTGTGAGAATGGGTCACTTCTAAAAGAGAAGCCCATCCTATACTACAGGCCGATTAGCCGAATCGAAAGTTTCCCATTTAATCGTAGTACACTATGTACATGGGGGTATTTTCATAATTTCGAATAAGCTTTTTTTTGTTTGATTCTCTTTCCTCAATTGATGTTTCGTCGTGCGTCTCACAAGTACGACAGGAACACTTCCCATTGTACAACCCTGATAGCCCTAGCAGAAAGAATTAACTATCCTTGTTCTTCCTCGCACTGCAGTCGGTCTGCTGAAAAATCTCGAGCCCTAGCGAACGACACGTCGTTGGATATCAACCGACGGCTCATCGGCTCGCGAAGACAGTCAACTACATAGTGAATACAGCTGTAGTAGTGCATATCTTTACCACGTCTAGTAACAGCAGTTCAAACGCGGTACATGACGTTGTGAATTGTAACCCCCCGCCATCGCTGTTGCTACGTCTGCTGATACCTGACTTTAAGTTAGCAACGGCCCAGAATAAGGGGAGCACGGCAAGAAAATAATAGCCGTGAGTTTTTTTTTTTTTATGTATCGTTTCAAAAGCGGCTTCTGGCGCTCCAGCTACTCCGGTGTTTGTATTGACGTAAGCTATTTTACTACGGCTGTTTCTGTCGTTAGCGTCGTTGTTGTTGTTGTTGTTGTATAACTCTATGTCAATCCGCCTTCCTTTTTGCGAATTTAAAATGCGACACATCATCCATTCTATAAGAAACGACGTTCCTCATATGAACTATCGGTCCGAGCTGACTTGCTGCCAACATTCGCGTGTTGATACCATATTTATTACTGCTACAAACGTATGCAGCGTGCTTTGGAAACTCCTGGTACAGGAAACACTAAAAAATAGTCGGAAAAAAGAAAATAAAGATCGCCGGTGTATCTTGTATAGCTCTTCCCGCTGCGTACGTTATTAAATTTGTTGATATTCTAAGTTTACTCATCGATTTTTGCCATGTCACCTTGTTGTATAATGGGGAGAAACTTTTCGAACACCCTGTATACATGCTTTCCTTGGTATCTCTTCCGTCACTTATATTTCCTATAGGCACGCGTATAATTTTTGGAATTTTCTTTTTGAGCTATTCTTTTGGAGTCCGTATTGCGTTAGCGTTGTCATTGTCGTTGCGTATAGCTAGACATCGGTTCTACAATCAGTTTAGGTGATCTGGGTCTGTCTGGTCAGGGAAGATGAGGTGGGCATGTCTTCGGTCTAAAGTATCACCTGTGATGCGATAAATATATAGAGTATCACTGTTAGGTGGAACGGTAAAAATCGAGTAGATTTAATATTGAGGCTCTGTTGAGCTGAAAAAAAGGCTCAAACGGAATAACGATGGTACGAATCCATGTAAAGTATATTTTAATGTTGAGATTATAATAACGTTAAGCAATACTTTCGGCTCTGATCTTTGCTGCAAACCTAACAACGCTTATTCGGAAGAGACTAGCTAATTTGAAAACAGGATTAGAGTCATTGTTACAAAGCTTACGATAGAAAGGTTCTCTTGACTTCGTTTGCGGCTAAATATATATAAGTGACTTAATTATTAGCCTAACGGAGCTTGACCCGTATGACTAGGTTCCCTAATTTCATCTTAGGCTTAATATTTTATATTTGGTCCTAGTAGGCCTTGAACTACTATGGTACTTCCACAGACACAGAAGGCGCTTTGTCCATTTTCATTGAGGATAAAGCAATATAGTCAAAGTTCCAACGTCTGGTCAGCTGCCTGTAACGAGATATGCCTAAATTTGAGTAAAAAACGTAAAACATTTCACAATTTACGGTACTTCCCATTGATTGTAATGATAACTCTTATCCGTATTAATTCACGTAGGCGACAAAGCTATCGTAGTGCATTGATGTCGTGAACGTGTGCTAAAAACGTTCTAATAGATCTATGGAGATCAATGACCACGTCAGTAGTAAAAGTTGACTCTCTATACATGTAACGACCTGTTGTGCGGGACCAGGATTTCAACAGCGGCAAACGATTCCATAGCTGGGTAATCTAAACGCAGTAATTTTTCTACCGGATCTACAAACGGATCCAGTTGATTCCGCGGTAATTTTTGTCCCAACACCTAAAAATTTTATGCCCTCACACTACCAATCGTCAAGGCGGGCACTTCTTACAGCGACAGATTAAGGGCTTTGGCAACCGTGAATTGCACGAATCGGATTCGCTTATTCAGCGATTTCTCGTACGACCTCTCCGACCGAACTGAAGTCGCCCCTCGTCCTTGGGGCTATCTGTACTTAAAACTATAGGGAAACTGTATGGCTTCAGTTCAAGTTTAGTGCTTGGGCTAACTAAAAAAAAGACAGTTATATGCTAGAAGTTCTAAAAACGCACCGCTGGTATCATTACCGTCTCCTACAAAATAGCGTAAAATTAATTTCATAGTGGAGATTATGGTAGGTAAACTGGCTTTGAATCTATCATTGCACGAAGTTATGTCCTGCATGAAGTACTAAAATATGCAATTAAATTTGTATTGATTTATATATTCGTCCTTTGTAGAAGCGTTTCATAGGGCCTAATATTACACCGTATGATGCTGGGCGGATATTTATCCAAAAACCTTTGTATTTAGCAGCACTCACGGGCAAAGCCCAGAAAAACGACTTTGACTGTTGCTTTCGGCGCAATAGTAAGCAAAAATCTGGCATTGTCTACCTTAGTCCGATGGCCGATACCAAGAGCTTGTACGAGTTGTTAAACTGAAATTGAACGACGCTTAAATTAAATATGTACATTTCTAACAAAACAGTGAAAATTAACCTACCTTCAGACTACGCGTTGCGTAATTGTTACCATCGCAGTAAATCACAACGCCACTTATTATTATTATTACATAATAGTTTGCCACTTCACAGCACTTAACCCCCGAGTGGTTCCCCACGCCTATATAAGAACACCTGAATATACTGCGGCATGATAATTAATGATGATCCCGTATCATCATTTAATGAAATTACTTGCTCGTTTCGCCTTCGTAACTACGTTAACAAGTGCCTTAAGTTATTTATGTTTCAACTAAACCGTTTGTTTAACATGACGAATTAAGATCGAACGCTCGTATGTAGGACGCACAGCAGTAGCAAGGTAACTGCTACAGTAACGCCAGTTCAACACAGACACATGTCGAAACTAGTAAAGCCAGTCATCTGTATTATCTATGTAACGAGAAAACATTTATTGCAGACAGCTTATGGATTCGGCCGGCGTCGTTTTCGAATATAATAGGACAGAAGCTGATGAAGAGGATTCGACACAATTACTGTAAACAAAAATAACAACAGCGACAGCAGCTGTTTGTAGAAAAGTCTTTTTCTAAGGTATTATGAATGAATAACATCAGAATCCATTGTGTGTACAGGGTAAACTGTGTTATCTTCGACTGTTAAGTGTTCTTTTAACTTGATATTGTTGTCGTTGATGTTATTGTGGTCCCTATGATCATAGCTTTTGACGTTGCCCCGCTGTTCCGAGTCATTTCTGGGCATGCAATTACTGCTCTCGCAGACGCCCAAACGAAAATGACAATATAATTGTTGCTTTTTGTTGGCGTGTGTGTACAACATCAGCTGCTCAGCCTGTCCATGTCCTTGCATGTGAGACCGATCCCTCCATTTTGGCCTTTAAGCGCCTATTACTGCCGCTTTGTTTTGTCGTAGAGCCAGATTGTACGGGTGAATTTTTCGCTATCGTTCACTTCGTTCGGGAACCTTATAGAATAACAAAAGCAGATACGCAAAGATCTCCAGTTTAAGACAGAGACTACGTGGCCTGTTGCAGTGGCCGGCCAGATAATGTTTTTTTTTTTGTTTGCTTTTTCTTTTTCTATTCTTTTTTATTGCT